TAAAAAAGGTATTAGCGGAATTTCATTAATGTGTTTAGTACCTAAACGTGGAAGTACACAAGGAAAAGGAAATACTTAGTTGCCTCTCTTCTTGAAAATGTTTACTGAAACACATAAAATGTCAAAACAACATCCTAGCTTCTGTGCATGCCAAGTTTGGAGGACATTTTTAATACAAGCATTTATTTTTCCAAGAAAATGTGCTCTGTCAAAAAGGAAAAGCAGTCAGAAATATAAATGCTGATGAGACTAGTTATTTTGAGAATAGAGGCGAGAAAAACGTTTTCAAAATTGCCATTTATAATAAATAGATAAAAAAGGTTGAAAATGTGTTCTATCTCCAGGTAGCAACATCCCTTTCTTTTTCTCTGTGAAAAATTGGCACATCTCTTCTGTTGTGCCAGAAGATGGTGAAGATGGTTCCATTTCTTTATCACAGTCCACATCTATGTGCTTCAGAAAAAGGCCACTGCACGTTTTTCTGCTACTGTTCTTTTGTCTGATAGATACATTAGCATAGATTAATTTTTTCCTTTATTAATTTTTTTCGTTGTTCTGCGTGCTCCTTTTACGAAGAAAGAAGGGAAAAATACAAAGGTTGTCATTAGTGAGTGTTTTTGCTGAGCTTGCTTTGTCCTGGAACCTATCATATCTTAACAAATACAGGAAGGATGTTCATTCAAGGATTAAGAGACAGGTTTAAGTTGCTTAAAGCAAGAAATAGGATGTTAGATTGCAGGTCATTAAATGTAACTGCAAAAAATTTCAGTTGCTTCCGTTGCCCTACGGTGTGAAAAGAATGTGCTCATCAGTTATCTCTAATGAGATTCCTCTTATTTATATTCTTGAATTCCTTACTGTAAAAATGGAGGATGAAAATGGCTCAGCCTGGTCATTTTCCTGATTTAAGACCATCTACTGGGATACGGGAACAAACCGTTGAGATCCCTCAATATGAGCGGAGCTCTCAACTTGGGTCTTCCATTTTCTGACTGCTCTCCTAAGACATGGTTCCTCTTTCACATTCTGTCCTTCCACTGCTATGTGGTATAAACAGAAATACCTCTCATTGTTACGCAGTTGATTTGGTTCTGTGTTGAATTCAGTGCCTTTGAAAGTTAAGCACTATATAAACATGCCTAATATAAGGAATCACCTTTCTGGAATATGGATGTTGTTTAGGCACTTCTTTCTGAAGAAAGAAGTCTAGTCTTCTATCCCTGAGTATTTCTGATGATAGGAGAAATGTAAGCCTGTATTATGCAGAAAGGAAACTGGATGGAAGTAGTACTTGATCTTAGATGCCTTAAGCCACAGGTCAGATCATGCCTGGGACTTCATTATCTGATTGTCTTCAAATGCTCAGGCATCTGCAATCCAGATTGTGTTCTGAGTCAGAACAATTGTGTTCTGAGTCAGAGAAATTTAGGCAGACTAATATGGTTTATTGTCCCTGGAACTTTCTACCACTAATGTGTTCTTTCATTATGTATGCTTATAGAACACAATCATATTGCTTTCATATACACATTTTTAGTGTGTATTTATATTATTATTTAATATTTCCATTTTTTTCCCTGACACATAGAATCATAGAATTAACAGGGTTGGAAGAGACCTCCAAAATCATCAAGTCCAACCTTTGATCCAACTCCACTGTGATTACTAAACCATGGCACTCAGTGCCACATCCAGCCTTGTCTTAAAAACCTCCAGGGACGGTGAATCCACCACATCTCTGGGCAGGCCATTCCAATACCTGATCACTCTCTCTGTAAAGAACTTGTTTCTAATATCCAACCTAAACCTCCCCTGGCACAGCTTAAGATGGTGCCCTCTTGTCCTGCTTCTGGTTGCCTGGGAGAAGAGACAGACCCCCACCTGTCTACAGCCTCCTCTCAGGTAGTTGTAGAGAGTGATGAGGTCACCCCTGAGCCTCCTCTTCTCCAGACTAAACAACCCCAGCTCCCTCAGCCTCTCCTCATAGGACTTGTGCTCAAGTCCCTTCACCAGCCTCGTTGCTCTTCTCTGGACCCGCTCCAGCACCTCAATATCCTTCCTGAACTGAGGGGCCCAGAGCTGAACACAATACT